GGTGATCGTAATCTGCGGCCACCCTATATAATGCCACTCAAGCAAGCCGAATTAGATCGCTAACCATTAACCTCCATTGCCATGATTACGTCTGAGCATGTTACCGTATCGGAAAAGGGAGCGCGAACCAACGTAAAGGTCGCCCACGTCATACCCCTCACGTGGACATATTTTATTCTAATGGCTGTCCTGTCGGCCTCCCACGGGATGGAAATGAATAGCCGTATGGGAGTGAATATACTATGTAAATAACTTGGCAGTGTATTCAGAGGTTGGCTGCTGGAATAGCTTAGATGAATTCAAAGCGTGTTTTTCTAGTCACCTACGACTTTCCTTTCGACGTGCCGTTGTAGTTAATCGGTGCAATTTTTCAAACGACTCGATCACGCGGCGTAGCACAGCGTGACTACACAAAAGGGCTTTGAAAGAATGATTCCAGACATCTTTTGCAAAAACACACCCACTGCTATTCACAGTGTGGCAAGTTCTAGTGACATGCTAGTGATACTTCAGGGGGATGTCAGAACTTCATTTAAAACGCATCGCATTCGCACGCTCGCGTAACATATAATATGACCCAAACTAAGCAATTGACAGTTGCTTCTTCTTCTATTTCTCGACATATTCGCCTCGGCCCCGTCAACAACGCAAGTTCCATTTCAAGCCGCTCTGTGTACGAAACAGAACCGTCGGTTCCATAAAGTTGTAGAAATGATGTTGTGATCATAGTAATTGTTATTCAATTCAAGATGTAAACAGCAGCTGTATATAAGCACCCCCCAACGGGTGTGGCTCACTCATTCTACTTCCTATAGTTCGACTCTCTACTCTTCTTGCCTGAACTACACGTCGTTCAGGCAATAAACTGTGAAGCAACTCGGAGTACGACAGAACCAGTGAAGGAAGCAGCTATACCTAATAAGCGTGGCAAGCAGTACGTGTATACTACATATCTGGAATCTTCGCCACACTCTGCTTCGGGCTCTTCTGTGCCACATGGCCGTATAGGAATAATCTGCTTACCATTAGGCCGATGTCAGACTTTGCGAATCGAGCGCTACGCGATTCGCTAGCGTCCGCGGTCGCGTTGCGGTACCAGCCAATTGAGTGATTCACTGGCCGCGACGCGACCGCAGACGCTAGCGAATCGCTTGATTCGCAAAGTCTGACCTTACACAGTCATGTAAAGACGAAGAAAAGACAGTGTTCATTTTTTAGATAAAAGGTTTTTACCCCAACTCTACACATGTAAGAAAGGAGAATAGGAAGAACTGGCTGCCATAGTTCAATATTTTTATATAAATCTAAGCCCGCTATTCTTAACGTGATCTGTGAAACAAAGATGGCCTACAAGGAATGTATTTCAGACTGTGGAGCGGTGGTTAAAACTGTTTTCTGCACGGTGTAGGGCATGGGCAGTGGCATGGCACGAAAAAACCTGGTCTTTTTTCTCTGAACGGTCCTCGAAATGCCAAAAAAGTGCTAAGAACAATGACTCGCGGTTCGATTCCCCCTAATGACACATTTTTGCATTTCTCTGATTTTCATTTTCTTCCACTCTATTTTAGCGGA